TGTGACTTAACTACACATTTCCTCCTGGAAGTCCTATTGTTTCAAAGCATTACAAGTTCAAAAGAGAGATCAAGACTTTTAAAACTTAATACACATGCTATTCGACTCCAAGCCAGCAAATTCACACCGTAGTCCTGGGAAATTTAAATGTTAATTTCCTGTGCTTGCTACAAAGACTCTCCACTGAACTCAGAGCCCTTTAGCTCATAGTCTCTTATTTTCAGTATATTTAAGCCACATCAGATGGTGCCACTCTAAAAGGAAGGTGAAGGTTTAACTGGCTTTTCAATTACTTCTTCTAATTACTTAACTATTGCAGTGCTTTGTAACTGTATCGCCCTCTGTGACAACATTAAGCCCAGTGATACTAGGAGCAAGTTAAAACAAATCGCTGCTCGAGTAGAAAATCCCCTCTACGACAATAATGACATTTTGATTATGCTTAATTGGAGTAAATGTTTATATTGTCATTTGATGGATGTTCCTTGTACAGTTTAGGGGTTTTCAACAAAATCATAGTATTTTATTTTAAATGTGCATTCATAGCATTAAAATCCCAATTAACTAATTATTCAGATTTAAATGCTTTCAGTGCGAATTTATGTCACGCAACAAATTTGGAGATAAATTGTACTTCAAGTTTCCTTTGAACTTAGATGATGGATGTGTAGGGTACTAGGAAACCTTTCATCATCAAAATCTGAAAAATGCAAATTCAACTCTTTTCTGTTATGTTACTTTATTTTGTCACCAAACACAGTACACAAAAAAACACTCCAAAAAACACCTGGCTATGCTCTAAATATAACCAGTTATCTGACTGGTGGAGGCTCATTAGTGTTGCAGGTTTCCCCAGCAATTCGTTGTCTTTGGTCACAGTTTTTCCTTCCACAACCGAATTGGCGATATGCTTTGTTTTTATGATGTTCCAGTACAGGATGATACACGGCCTGAAAGGAAGCAGTGTAGCTAGTTGGGCCCGATGGGAAATTGAGGTTACATCTGGCCTTAACAAATACACCTGTGCTTTCACAGCCTGATGCATAATGCATAAGATAAAGTGGAAAATATGGGACAGAACAAAACGCCAGCCACTGACCACTGAAGGAAACATCTAAACCATTGTAGCACAAAAATACAAGATGTTTAAGAAAAAGTGATTTGCTCTCAGCTTAATGCAGCTCCACAGTATTTAGATACTGTATAACTACAGGAAATTTACTTCATGTTCAATGTTTTGTTCAATGTCAAGGTCATTTAATTTGTAAACCTACAGTATTACAACTTTACAAAGTCACTTCATGTTTGTCTTTCCTTATATGCTAAAACACAAGGTTCAAACATTTACTAATCATTAAATGTGTGGTAAGAGCGGTCACTCGTCAGAAGCCAAAAGTCATCTGCTGTAATCCAATAACTTTGCACTGAAGTAACCATAAACATTATTTTTAATAATCTGTGTTTTTAGTTGTTCCAGTGGACTCACCACCCGCAGGAAGGTTTGGTACGGTGCAATGTGATTTGGGTGGCGACTGCTGCCCCCGCGACCCGGTAACGGATAAGCGGATGAAAATGGATGGATGGATGGATGAAAATGGATGGATGGATGGATGAAAATGGATGGATGGATGGATGTTTTTAGTTGTTTTTGTTTTTTTGTTTGCTTTTTTGTTTGCAGGAAAACAGGGAGAAATAGAACCAGTCAATCGAGTTTACATACTGTTTCATGTTTCACGTGGCTGAAACTGAATCTGAATTATCAAATCTGCTTGGCAGCTGATGATTTTGAAAGAAAAGTGGCTTTATTCTTGCCATGTTGATGTAACCTTACTCTAGGCTGCAAGAAGATCAATGTCTATGTTAAACTGCTGTAGTGTACAAAACAGAAAGCTGAGCATGAGCAAGGAGAATGAGACGGGACTTATCCATCAACCACCTTTAACATCAAGAGTTAAGAGTCCAGGAGGAAATAATACAGCTTGGGTACTGTATGTTACATACAGTACCCGAGCTACATACTGTATGTTTTGTCAGTATATTTAGCAGATGAGAAATATATCACACAAACAGCTGTAACACACATGCTATTTTTTCAAAGGCTGTTGGATATTGCTGGGGCTATAGTTCATTCTCAGCAAATATGACGGGAACTAAATGTGCTGTAAGGTAGCACAGCCAATATTTACCAGTTCACAGATGAAGCTAACATTGGATTTAAGACAGAGGTCAACTTTTCCAGCAGGTGACCTGAGTGAGTGGCATTGCTAAAGTGTCCTGCAATGGGTTTCTGAGATTAAAATGTCAATTTCAAGTATCTGTGCATGAAAACTTTATAGAGGACCCTGTCATATTAACACCTCAGCAGATGAACCTCCATTCGCCATGTGTTGGTGCTGCATTTAGACATGCAGGCATAGATCAAAAGCAACATGCAGCTGCTAGATACAACATTAAACCAGTTCTGAGTTCTGTTTTTTCAAAATAAAAGCAACAAAATTAAGTCTTTTATGTGAAGTATACAATCTGTAATATAGGAATGACATTTCTGCAAAAGGGCAAACACTTTGAGGTGTATGGTTTGAACTGCTGGGGCCAATCTCCAGTCTTTGATATAAAATATCAACCTCAGATTTTCCAGTAAATTGCAAAGGGCTACATAAAATTAAAATAACTTCAGGCTACCTTGTTGAAGGTTTCATGGTGCTGCCTACAGCTATGACAAAACTCCACTTGGATTTTAAAGATAATTATTATACCTCTTCAACTATGAACCACTCATTTCCCACTTCAGACAGTAATGAGCACGTGGAATAATAGCCTGCTGCACTGTGCAATACACACTTCACTGAATTCTGGAAACCAATCCGAATTATTCCCGCTTCTAAGAGGCATTTTCATTTAACTCAAAAGCTAAAAGACACGGCAGGGCAGAATTTCAAAAGGGACACTTTAGATTTGTTTTACTTATTCAGTATACCATTTTAAAGAACTTATGTGAAAAGGAAGACTTAACAATTTAGTTTGTTTTAACAAGTAAAAGATGTTATAGGCTAATAAAAATTAGCTAGCATCACAAAGTTGCACGTGATATTACAATTATAAGTTAATAAACAGTTTGAAAAATCCTGCCTCCAGGTCACACAAAAATGTTCTACAATGCTTCTTTCAACACACAGAAATCCTGTGGTTCCACTAAGCTCCATATTAATGCGCTCAAGCTACTCCTGCACGCAATGTTGTTTTTTGGTGATGTTAGGGCATTATGGCATTTAGGGCTTTAAAAAAAGTTCACCATTTCACTCCTTTCACGATGCATGAAGAAGTTCATCACAACAATTGCAGGGAACATTGAGCATATATCAAGTCTTCCTGTGACATCTGCACTTTAATGACCAACTGGTGAATCTAGTGCAAATGTAAACCGAGTGATTACTTCATATCACATTCTCCTTCAAGATTTTGATGAAGATTTAAACTGTCCTATAAACCAAAAAAGTCTTTCAATGTACACTATTAATCCAAAAACAAGCAAGCACATGCCTTTTCTCTGGTGTGACATAACAAAACATAACAAGATGCAATAGAACTATTTAAAAAAATCTTATCATAGCAAATTAGGTTTACAGTCATCCTCATCCATGTATAAATTAAATAAAACTCTTGGGTTAAGCCTATTCTATACAACTACATCCACCAATGGGGGAACAAAATATGTAATAGAGGAAAACCACACTACCAACTCAGGACTGGAACCTGCTTTGCATAAAAAATGTTTTCAGCTAAGAGTTAGTCTCTTAAAATGCTCAAGATGATATTACAAATACCAGGCTACGAGAACAGATTTGTGTGTGTTGTGACAGAATAGATAACACCCTAATGTTTGTACAGTGACTCACACACCACTCTCCCTCTCAAAACACTGAACATTGAACATTGGTGTCGCTAGGAAATATGTTCAGGTTGCATTGCGTTTGCACTCCTATTTTCAGCATGCAAATTATGCCATACAAAAACCTACACAAGCCACATTATGCCTAGAAAACGAATAATACCAAAGCACCATGTTTCCTTCTGCAAATCTAACCCTGACAAGATGGCAACATTCATGCATGTTTGAGTAATTCATACTTGAGTAATGAATCATCTTATTTGTACAAAATTCAAAAAAGAACAGCCCACATTTCGTATTTGTTTGGTTAAAAAATAAATAGCACAAAAATCAATCTACAGGTTTCAAGCTGTATGCAATGTTTATTTAAAGGTTGTGTATTATACATATGTACTGGTGCCCTGGTGGCGATAAAACTGGCCAGAATGATATGGCCCAGGAATTAATTATCTTCTATGCAAGTGTACAACCCGACTGTAAGTAAAACCATACCATATTCTGAATCATCAAACAAGTTAATTTTCAACATACTCACAGAATTTGATAAAATTTGAGATCCACAACAATATGTTTATTAAGAAATTAAATTGCCCACAAAAGTTACACTTTTGAGGGTCCGCAAAGCTAGACTGAGTTTACAAACTCCTCGTGTCTTTTAAGTTTTAACTTAAAAAGTTGCTTTATATCTTTTACTTGCATTTGGATCAAAGAACACAATAAAGATTCCTCATTATTTATATCAAATTATTCCCTTCCATGTTTGTATATTCCACATGTGAAATTGATTGTTTACTGGGAGCTCTTTGGGTTAAGACCTTGACAATAAGCCCCATCTTGGGTCCTCTCACCACTGGAAACTGTAACAACCACAATGTACATCAACATTGAGGATGGAGGATGCAAAGGAAGGACAGCAATAACGAAGGAGAAGGGAGAACGGAGTGGCATTTCGCCTCCTCCCTCTTCAGGCAGGATTGCATTACACTGCATTCTCCACAAATAACAACAAGCTATGCACTGCTTTCTGCAGAGGTAACAATAAGCTTATCAGTGGACTCGGATTCTCCATAGTTGGTGATAATAAACCACGTAATTATCATTCCACACCCACCTGAAGAGCAGGAGATGAGGAAAACGGCGAAGGCCAGTTTGGTTGCGTCTCCCATTTTCCATTCGAATATGATCCTCGGAATAAAGAGAATATTTGGAAAATACTGGGAAATTAAATAATAAATATGAGTCAAATTAATTTCCCTGCTGCTCCAGTGCACAAAGTCTATGCGAAAATGGCATCCTCCGAGCGCTGGAGATGATTTAAACCAGAATATATGAGGTATGCGAGCCTCACTAGTCCAGGAAAAAACAAGGAGGAGAAAGATGAAGAGTAGATGGCTGCTGGTATTTCCAGGTTGGTTTTTAAACGCGAGCGCTGGAGGGGGGCGGCTGGTTGGTTTTCAAGCCAGAGCTGCCGTGTACATACCAGATCTGCAGCATTGTTATAAACATACACCTTCAACAGTGTTTGTTGGATTTAAGCCTGGTATTTTCAAAGCAGCACAGCCACAGCCGGAGAGGGCGAACATCCATCCGACAAAAAATCGAGCGCACTCCGCTCTCCAATTAAACTTCTCCACGGCGAGCTACGTCGCATAGCAATAAAACTGTGAAAACGACGTTAAATTAGTATTTATTCTGACTTATTTTTAAAACTGCACGTCTAAGACTTAAATGGTGCTGTTATATTCCATATAGTTGTCCCAGTTTCGTCTTTCACCGAGTCCTGCGGCGGCCACAACCAGAGCCTCCGTTCGCTCCTGCGAGGAGACAAACGAGTACGAAGCTCCCTCACCCACTTTATGCCGTCCTCGAAGCGGGCCAGCAACCCCTCCACTGCCAAAACGTTTGTGTTGAACAAACGTTAAGTTCACCAAATGGGATGAATAATCAACAAAGTTTGAGTTAGTTCGCTAGATATCGAAACTATTGAGTTTGGACAAGCCAAATTTTCCCGAAGCCTGTCTCCTCCGCGTCTCCTCTAGTCGGGACAATTTCAAGATGGCGACAGTGGGCCTACGTCGAGTTAGTCAAAATGGTATGCAAAGCTTCCGGTAAAGAATTTTTCAAAACAAGATCTTTGACCAAACATTTTTACCAAACACATTTTTGGTAATGTTTTATAAGTATTTAGTCAATCTAGGATAGCAAAACCACGTGCAACAAACCTATAACAATATTGTATTAACTGTATGTTATATTTGTTCTTTAATATACTGTATGTCTGCGTTTACGAAATGTGTTTTTCCTTATTTTTTGGGCAAGCAAGTTTGACTTCCTAAATCTTTCTTGGCTAACTCTAACCAATTTGACAATGCTGCCTTTTTTGACATAGGGATTGTTTTTGTTGAGGTACGTTGCTCGTTTTGGAACTCAGCGTTCGCCAAGACAAGAAAGAGAGACGGTTAAATTTGTTGTGTTGTAAATGTACATAAAGCCGGACTTTATGTACATTATGTGTTAAATAGAAAATGGAGCAACAGCCGTATACATAAGTCATTTTTTCAGGCAAATGAAAGCAGATTATGCTATGTCAGTCAGCAATGTCACTAAACATTTTTTTCAATTATTGTTTTGACAATTGGATTAGAAAAAAAAATGATACCAGTTCACTTGACTCATGAACAACAGCAATGCAACTGGGTTTATAACAGCACCTGCAAGGCAGGGAGGGGGTTTGGGTTTGTTAACAGTAGATAAACAATGTTGCATAGTTACTTTATTATAATACATAGACATTTTGAATATTGAATAATCCTGCATTTACATCAAGTTTAACACAAAAAAATGGTCTCACATTCTATGGTGCACATGTAAAAATATACAGGTATGCACACATATGTGCTTCACAACTACACTTCATGTAGGTCAACACCATCAACACACTACACCCACATATAGCTTGAGGCCTGGCTGTGGTATGCACTACTATGTCAGGTATCCAATTTCAACATGGGTTCACTAATAAATGCTGAGAATACCATGAAGTACAGATATAGGCTTGGCCCATCCCCAGATCTGTGTGACACTAATCCCTCTAATAGCCTGCAGCAGTTCTCCAACCATAAGCGATGCTAAACGATTAGGAGGTCATAGGTCTCAGGAGGCTTCTCTGCCGAGCTGGAAGCTGAGTCACCTGTTCTATATTGGAGTATTAACTTTCATCTGCAGTAAAACATACACAGTTTGGAGTGAGTACTGGTTGGAGCTCAAGGCATGAACAGTGGGCAGGTGAGGGATTTGCTTCCTGACTCTGCATGTTACTCCCTTAACAACGGCATTTTGAACTCAGATGAACTCTTGCCCAGAAATAGCACAGCCCTGCCCTGTTAATCAAAGTACAGTACACTTATGGAGCATGTTAAAAAAAGAACAGGTACTGGTTTATCAGGAAGCTGTGAGGCAAGTACTGAACTATTTACCAACACGCCGCCAAATAAGTTTACACTTTACAGAAAAAAATATTTTGTATTGACTCACCAACATTAATCAATGCCTTTGCAAGTGACAAGAACAGTCTTTGTTGTTAATAGTAACAAGCATTGCAGCAGTGATTGCTCTGTATAACAAAAAGAGGCCTGTCAAACTATTAAACTGTTTAATCTTATTAATCACAACAATAGTCTGTGGAATAATCATGGTTCATTTCGATAAATCGCAATCATAACTAATCACAATTGTTTGAGATAATTCAACATTGCAAACTATGATGTTTTCTGTACAATGCCAGAGCAGAAAGACCTGTTTTTAATTTTGACTAATCCAAATCATGGAATTATTTATATGGAAAATATCAAGATAATTATGTAAAACTATAACACAAATTTAGCTTCATAGAGTTGATAGGTTTGAGTTATCACTGTGTATTTTTCATGGCTTAAAGAACATTTCAACATTTGCTTTCAAAACTTCACTTGTCGTTGTCCTCAGTGATATTGTTTAATCTACAGTCCCTCACAATTCAACGGGTTTCTAAATGTCAAGTCAGCTGGACAGCTGTAGACTGACTTACTGGTGAGGCTGGTCTGATGTAAGTCTGGCATTTGACCTGAAGTCATTGCCTCCACAATCACAAGCTGGGCATTGAGCTGGTATTTTAAGATTCAGGTGTTTCTTGAAACTTTCTGCAGTGTGTGCAAATGAAGATGTATGTATCACCTGTGTAACTGCAGCGGTAAGTGGTAAGTGGAATCGTTTTAATCATTAACTTCTATCTTCAAAGAACATTGTGATATTTCTGATCATTGTAATGAAATTGTACACAACACCACCAACAACTGTAAAATTGTGTGCTTTTCCTTTAGTCTTTATATTTGTATTGAAGACTCAAGGGAAATCTTTGTATCAGATTTGTTTATAAACGCCTCCATATATCTTTGAACAGTCTTGTCTCTTAGCCAGTCTTGGCTTCCTGCCTGGTCAAACAATGCCCGGGGCAAAAGCAGGGGAAAGGGTCGGAAGTTATGTTTTTCTCCACACAGATATTGCAAAAAATAAATAAATAAATAAATAAAAATACATTAGTGAACTACGGTAGCGCTTTGGCCCAGAGGCAATGTCTCTGTCATTGGCCTGGACCCCCAGGGTTCACTTACTGTGCAAGTTTGACTCCCAGTTAGGGCGGTTGGTAACTTCCAGTGGACTCACCACCCGCAGGAAGGTTTAGGGAGGTTGGTACGGTGCAATGTGATTTGGGTGGTGACTGCTGCCCCCGCGACCCAGTAATAGATAAGCGGCTGAAAATGGATGGATGGATAGTGAACTACGTGTTGAAGCCTTCAGTAAAGCAAGGTCTTGAGACTGCATTTGTTGAGCAATGTATTTCAGTTAGTGTATTTAAACAATGTTCTTCAACAAACAAAAAAAACCTAACAAACTAAAACACACACACAGACACACACATATATATATGCATTACTTATCTGTAATGTAGGTGATGAATGATTTAACACTGACCTTCCTGAGTGTTTTTATAAGCACTCCCCAGTTCAATATGGCACAGCTAAATATTGAAAGAGTGAAAGTGTTCAAACCCTTTTTGATCTACTAGGTCTAGTCCAGTTCAGCTTGGCTTGTGAGCTATTATTCAATTGACCAGGCTAAGGTGATTTACCTACATTAAAAATGTTAAATATATATTAACTAATCTAAACTGAATTTATTTTATATATGCGTTATACCTATGGGTACTGATAAAATTCATGTAGCTGTGGCACAATATGACTCCACCCTTACAGTATATGGTCACTAATACACACCACAGAATTTATGTATATCTTGATTTTTTATTTTAATTGCTCATGTTCTCCCAGCCCTCACTCTGTGATCTACTGGTAGATTCTGATCTGTTTACTGGCCAGTCCTGATCCAGAGCATCCACTGGCAAGTTCTATGGTATGTTTCTATGCATCAGTTTCTGCAGGTGATACCATTCACACTGGTATGGTCCAGTCCATTCAGGTCCTCGTGGTTCCCACTACCTATGCTCTCACACAAACACAACTGTACACAATGAAGGAAAGCACTATTCTGCTTTGATTGTTGTAGATGTTTTTTTTTTTTCTGTGTGCCTGTCAATCTATAATTGAGGAAGACATTTACGTTTGGTTCTGGTGATTGTCTGCCTGGTTGCATTCCAACATTTACATCAAATGCCAAATCCCTTCTGATGGCATCTTATGTTCCGCGGATACTTATTATGCATACTAATGAAACTCCAGTGGGTACACCTTACTGGAACCAGTGGCCCTCGCACAGAGAGAAGCCCCATGACTCTCCAGCTTAATGGACTCAGTATTGAGTGTCGAGGGAAGTTAAATTTATTGACAAAGTGCTTTTAACAAAAAGCAGGTTGCCAGTAGAGTGCAGGCAACAGTCCACTGCAGTAAAAGATGTAAATACTGAAGAAAGAAAAAAAAAACAAAAAACAAGCAGCATATACATAGTTGAAATGAGTGGCTGTTGACCATGGACATACTGATTATGTGCACGTGCTGGCAGTGGCTGCAGTACAGCAACATGGATGTGAATGGACACTTCAAGAAGCATGCATGAATGATGAATGGCAGGATGGAGTATCGCATACAAAGTGCTTGTGGGCTGTGGCAGCAACTTCCTCCTGCAACTGTAAGGTCATTGTTTTGGCTCAAGATTTGTATTTGTATGAAGCATTAATAAAACATGCACCAGGAAATTATTTCCGTGCCTTCGGAAATGCGTGAAAGCTAAATTTAGTTTACAAAAACATATATTATTTATATATATTATATAAAATTATTTATTTATTCAGTCTATATTCTTCTAGAAAAGACTGGGCCTAAATTATTCATCCTGCAGAAATATTGCCACTGTGTGTGCTGTGCTACAGGTAGATTATTATTTAGGGCAGTATTCACATGCATGTAGCTAAAGATTGGTCTGGACCTTTATGTGTTATTATTGAGTTTTAAAAAGTATTTAGTGGCTTAAAAAGGGGGAGGAAGGGACAGAAGTCAGGGTCCAGAGAAAGTAGAGAAACATGTATGCTTGTTTTTTTTTTTTCAGAAATTGACCATGCTGGCATTAGCCCCAGGTTGAGCTCCACGTTTGATTTCTGTTGGCAGATGCAGCAACTGTGTCCCATTATATTCCCCTGTTCTCAGATTCTTGTCACTCAACACGCAGGTTTCCATGTGGTTATGAAAACTGGGCTCCGTGTTCTAAATCTATACAGACCACTGTCATATGTATCTCCGCCCCAGGTTCCAAAATGTGTTACTCTCTTTGACAACTATGGTGACAGAACCTTTGAGTTTTCTATTGGATTATTCTCTTAGATTTTATATTGGATAATGCCATCCATCCATCCATCCATCCATCCATCCATCCATTTTCATCCGCTTACCGGGTCACGGGGGCAGCAGTCGAACTTGCCCAGGAACCTGGGGTTCCACACCAATGACAGAGACATTGCCTCTGGGCCAAAGCACCACTATTGGATAATGTAATTAGATTAAAAAAGAGGTTTATTTGGGCAA